TATATATATATATACATATGGTGCAACATCTTGCCATTATCTCAAAAAGTAAAAAACCTTTAAGGTTCTATCATAAAAGTGAATTCTACATGACCACTACGGAACTTAATAATTGTGAAATCATTTTGTTGACTTTTTTAATAACTTATCAATAAAACGAGTCTGTGACTTTAAAGAAAATCCATTTAATGCTGAGAGCAACGATAAATGTAAAATATGATATTGATATACATCCTTGCGGAACAAGTCGAGGGTTTTTATACATTCGAAAATGTGGAATTAAAAAATTTGATGCTCCGGAAGGCATATATTTAGCAACAAACGGTGATAATTTACAGAAAAATGTTATTATTAATTACATATTTTTAAACAATTTACTTTAGGTTGCCTTTGTCTTTGGTATTACACGAGCTTGTGGAAAAAATGAACTTTACAATCTCAAAATTTCATATGTAAAAGAGCTAAGTATATACAAAGACAAAGAGAGTTCACAATAAAACGAGAAATTTGCAATATTGTGAAAAATTATTCAGTTTTAAGCACTCAATGTTCCTTTTTTTTCTGTAGATTTCCTAGGAATCAGCAAACTAGACAATATCCAACAAGGGGTCCTCCTTTATTAATCAACCACCAATTATCTAATGCTTGTTGATGAAATTTAAATTATGTCAAGTCATTCCCCTGAAATGAATGTCGAGTCCAAAGGGTCGTAGTCCTTTGGAGGCAGAGGCAGAACTCACAACGGGGGCTGGAATTCCCATCCCATTAGATCTCTTATTTAAGAGAGGATCTCTTTATTTTTTTGCCAATGTGGGCTTCCAAAGGGATTATGAAATCTTGATGTGTATGTATTTATGTATAAGGAATATATGAAGGCAATAATTTATTTCTAATGTATATTTGTATCCAGTTAAAAGTATAAATTTTATATTTTAATGAACATAAATTTATAATGGGTACAGCATTTTTTATTTTACTGAAAATAAATAAATTAGAAACAATAAATATAACAGTTTTCTTGCATTTTTAATAGGTAAGATAATATGGTGTGGTGAACAAAGTTCCGTTTTACCTTTTTCCTACCTAGAATATTAAGTCTTATCTATAAACTCTTTTTGTCAACTTTATATCCTTGGCCAATAAACATGAAAATTATATTAGCCACAGAAGCTAGACTTGGTTAAAAATAAATGTAAAACCCGTTTTACTTTTACCAGTTTGTATTGTTCGGTACATGTAATATAAAAATTGTTGGATATTTCCTAGCTTAATTGCTAGAAATTTTATAGGTAAGTATTATTTTCATTGACCAAAAGTTAGTAGTTTTACGCTTTGTCCAATAAATTGATCAATTTAACGTAACATGCAAAATGGTAGCACAAATATCTTTTATAGTATTGGATGAAAAATTGTTAAATGTAAAACAGGTTTAACAAAACAAGATTTTGTTATTTATCTAGTAAAATCATCCACCAACCTTACCACCAAGCGTCTAAAAATATTGCACATAGTAAATAACAGGCGTGTGAACGTCAAGTGTGGAACATCAAATATAAAACATCCTGTTCATTTATGGGTAAAAAGTTCAGGCAGATTAATTTTATTCTGATTATTTTATTTTATATATGATTTATTCAAATATTAGTACTTTCTAATTAAAAAAATAATAACTACCAACTTCTAACTTACAACTTATCATATGGAAAGTTACATATAATATAATATATTATATTTGGTACATATCACATAGTAGAAGTGCTTATAAAAATTCTGAGGCTTTCTATATGACGATATGTTTTCTTTTTACAAAATTAGTATCATAAATTGATAATTATTTAGTAAAATCAGTTATAATTTCTATTTAAAATGATCACAGCCAATTTTGTAAATTATATATTCTAAAACTGCAGTAATTTTATCTAGACATACGCTATGTTCTGTGATTAAAAAAAAATACTTTCTCCAAGTATGTGTATATTAAAATGTTAAAAAGTAAAAACAAATTTAAAAGGAGAGGGCACGGTCTGGGAATTTTACTTTTTAACTGGACTGCAATAGAAGTAAATTTACCTTCCTAGCTGTAGATTTATAAAATCACACCACAGAGTATACTATATCCACTCAGTTTGCGGAAATTCCGAATGAAAACTGCCAAAGCAATTTACATATTTAATGTTTAGTGCTCCAAAATAGTCAAATAACTCAGATTATAGCGCATCCAGATCAAGTGCCGCAGGTAGATGGTTTATGTCTCATTAGATGTATCTACTTTCTTTAATTTATATTTTCTTTTGTGTTTGGATAATTGCATTTTAAATACTGTGCACTGTTATTTAGTTACTCTACCATAAAACAAATTTTCTTCCGAGTCTGGCTGAAAAGAAAATTTTTCATACCGTGCCGTCTCCTTTTAAGTCACAATAGTAGTAGTCTACAAAGTAATCGAAAGAAAAATATATCATCATAAAGAATGCCAAAATAAATATTTTATGTTACCGTTAAAGATGACAGCAAAGGAGTGTTTTTACATCTACTTTTTATATAATTAGGCATTTAGCCAATAAAGGAAAGAAAATGTTAGACAGATAATTTCTTGCATCAGAAGAATCAGCCAATAGGTAGTTTTTTATAAACTTATTTCTGTCTAACAAGATGAAATCCTATGAAAAAGATAAAAAATATTTTTTGTGCTTTTTTTAAGAAAGATACCACAAATTTAGAAGCTGATAGATCAAAAAATAAGAAAAGGATTTTTGAAAAAAAAAGAATTAACTGTCCTCAAGTCAACCAGCCTTAATATACAATTAATACTAACGTAACTTTTTAAGGAACTAGACTAAAGTAATTTGATTTAATTGGTTTACTTTCATCCAAAGAACCCATCCTTAAACTATGGCCCTTTCATTTCTGGACACTCTATACATGTCGAAGCGGAAGCTGCTTAATTTTGGAACGGTTGAATTGCATTTTCCTCAAAAAACAGTTCAATTTAGATGATTTACACGAAAGTACCTTTTTTATGTAAAATGAATTAAAATATGACGTACCTTGATAAAAACTTAACCTGTCATAAAAATCTCAAACGGTAAAGTCGTTGCTAGCAACCTCTAGCAGATGTTCAAAAACTAATAATGCTGAAGTATTTAGCATTTTCAAAAACTTACCTGTACCAAGTTTCAATACATTACATTGTTTTTTTGGAAGAGATACGGCTAAAGTTTGATTTAAAAAAAATCGTACATGACACCCTATACCTCAAAAACAAAGAATGTTCTTGGTCTGTAGGTAAAAAGTCGTCTTATTTTTTGATGTTCTATCAGCCTCTGAACTTATGGTACATTTCTGGAAAACACCCTGTATGTACCAGGCAAATAATATAATCCGGCGTTTTGCGAAATGTCTGCATTTTAAATAAATAAAGACTTGTAGTTATTCTTTTGAAAGAGAGTTTCAAGTCATTCTTAAGGTGGCCATATTCCCGGCCGAGAAATAGTGAAATTTCTGGCGTTTTTAGGTACTGAAATCTTTGAAAGTAAAACGTGTAGAACAAAAGTAAGCACAAAAATAAAATCCTTGATGTTTTGTTTATTCATTGTTACCATTTAAATTTACTCAAATAAAATAATAACTAAAAAAAAAGCGTTTGTAAAACATGCGTTTGCTGTTATTCTAACCCCACATTTTAAGAATTATTTTCACGTACTTATAAATAAAAGTAAACAATTTTATATGTAGGACTAAGCAAGTAAATGTTATAAGAATATTTACATGTGGAATTATATATAAAAAAGTTAGTATTTTCGTAGATTTCAGTACCTAAAACCTTGATGGTTTGATCGTTTTTTGCACCTGTTTATTCGTTTTACTGCGGCGTCTTTGAAAATACTCAGGTGGCATGACATAACATTCCTATTATTTCATAAGCTTTAGATTATTCAGTTATTAAATGTTTGAAATTATTTGTCTTTGCGAAAAACACTATTTATAGAATATGGGGCCCTTAAGGAAGTTTAGGCATTTTGAATAGATGGTAATTGTACCGTATGTAAGGGTTTAGTTGTGTCAAATTATAGCAGGTTGTATTTAAAACAGAGAGAAGAAATTCTACCAGATAATCTTGAGGCCAGAATACGATAATTGAACCAAATATACAAGTTACAGGGTGTTTCTGTGAAACAACAAAAATTCACTAATATATTAAAAATTCGGCGTAGATTAATGAAACTTGGGTTTGGGGTGTTTTTCCTTTTTGATACACTGCGTTGATAATATTAAAAAAATTCACTAGTGACGTTTCCAATTTATATTACCAAAAACGATTACCGGATTTTCAATTTTCTTGTGCTGTAACATAGAATTCCATAAAAACTATCTAAACGCTTTAAAAAAAATAAGACTTTCAAAACATAATTTTTGTACCAACTTAAAACTAACAATAAAGTAATTCAATTAATATTGAAGTGGTCATTCTGTATTTGAATACATAGAATACATGTAAAACTTATAAAATCTGTTGCAATATTTAACCTGTATATTAACTCTATACAATGCAACCAGTACGGAAGAAAAAGTTTCCTTGCAACTACAAAATATAAAGATCCCATTAAAGACACTGTAAATATTACTCGTTAATCCAATTACATATTTGTACGGTATAAATTTTATCAGAATTTAAAATTTCATTTATCGAGACTGAACAAAAGAGATCTTCAGAATAATATAATTGTTAGGTTTTTTTTCGTATCATTTTCACAAAACTTTAAATAAAGTAATTAATTCATCAATTTAATACTTTTGTTTAAGAGGTATATAAAGATTAATTTACTTACAAAAATTTAAAATTTTTGAAATCCACAATTTCTCAATTACATAATTTTTTCACCATTTATTTTATAACATTTTGTAAAAGTAGAAAAAATAACTTGAAAAATCGAAACTCAATGCACACAGATAGTGTATACGGAACATGTCAAGAGAACCTTTTAGAAAATACATCAAGGAATCCAAATTAAAATTTGTAAATTTCCATATTCTTGATATGTTCTCGATGAAAATATTGTCATAATTCCACTTTCTTCTAGTTATACCAGAAGCAACTCTCAACTGTCTACTTTTAAATGAATCACCCTATATTTTTGCAGATTCGGAACAAGCACAAAGTTCTATCTAGTAGTTTTGGAAATGTTTAACATTAAAATATTGACAGCTGCAAGGGTTTGCAAGAATCTCCTTAAAATTTTTGATATGGCACCTTGTGTAATTAAATAAATTAAAAAATACTGCACCAATGTTCCATTTTTTCAGTGAGGGCTCGTGACATTGAGAACAGGTGAAACATATTTATTGACTGACTAAAAAGACAAAAAAGTGCTGCAGGCGAAAATTTTCAAATTTTCAAGCAGTCTTTAAATGAATCTGGAAATTTTTAGTTCCATTTGCAATATTACCGAAAAACTGACGTTCGCGAGAAGGATTTTTGTTTAGATCTTATAAAAAATAGAAATATTAGTTCAGATTGTGGACTTCTGCAAACATTAACGCACACCGTATAATCATGTATGTTCCAAAGAAGTTTCGTGGTTACGACAGCCTCGCGTGACATTTCCAAAATTGTTAAATCCCTCCTTATTCCACACGCCCGACTTTACACTCACAATTAAACACGGCATACAGAAAAGTTTTTTTAAATAAACACTTCCACATAACCACTTATACTCCAAATACCATTCATTCCGAAACTTCCAAAGGTACACATTGTCTTTTGACTTCCCACTTTTTACGTATCGAGAGAATAAGGCGCGCACAATACAATACAACCAAACGGAAATTTTATGTGAAGCGGTGCGTCACTTGCGTCACCTAGCGAGCCGCCACTGTATTTTTCTACTAACATTTCATGTTTTTAAAACTGAAAACTTATTATTAGGCCTGGGAAAAAGTTCGTGACGTTTCTCTCACAAACCACTAATCGCAGCGACACCAATAAACGCTCGTTGGAAAGGTGCCACTTCGAGCTTACTTTGAGTATATAAACATTGAAATTGGTGCAGAGCTTGGAAAGTTGTTCGAGTTTGAAAATCAAGAAAAGTAATGAAAAATTGCGCTGTATTTTGGAATATTATTATGACAAAGGGAAGAATGCTGTAAAGGCTTGTGAAAAAATTTGAGCTATGTACGGTGAAGATACTTTATCAAAATTTGCTGCATGGAAATGGTTCGCTCGCTGTCGTTTTGGTAATTTTGATGTGAAAGATGAATTGATCACAAAACTGTTTTGAACCATTTACACAAAGATGGCTATAAAAAGAAGCTTGATGTATGGGTTCCTCATGATTTGAGCGCAAAAAACATGTTAGACTGAATTAAAATCTGCGATACGCTGCTGAAACACAATGAAATCGATTCATTTGTGAAACGTGTCATAACCAACTGGTAATGAAAAATGACAAAGCGTGGAGAAGGAGTGATGAGTCGTCATCCCTTCTGCATTCGCAAACGAAGATTAAAGTCAAAAAAGGCAATGCTGTGTGTGTGTGTGATGGGACTGAAAGGGAATCGTCCACCATGAGCTACTTCCAGTTAATCAGACGAATGATGCTCTACTCTACTGTGAACAACTGGAGAGATTACATGTGTGTTCTTCGCCTGACCACACGTTTATTTAATGTCTCGCCAAAAATTGTGAGAGCTTGGTTGGGAAATATTGATGCGTCCACCGTATAGTCCAGACATAGCACCCACTGACTTTCACTTGTTCCGATCTCTGCAGAACACTCTCAATGGAATTAAGATGGCTTCAAAAGAAGCCTGTGAATAACACTCGATTCAGTTTTTCAACGAGAGACCACCAAAATTCTTTACCGATGACATCATGGCTGTACCCGAAAAATGGTGAAACATTGCCGATAATAATGGATCATATTTGGTTTAAATAAATTCATTCTCACACTATAAAAAAAACAGTTGAATTTTACTAAAAAAACGCCATGAACTTTTTCGCAGACCCAATATTTGGAACTGAATTGCATTTTTGCTCGATGTTATGTACAATTAGATACTTTTTTTATTTAACATGAGTATTTTAAGGATTAAAATTAAAACCTTTTCACATATTTGAGATTATCATAAAATTAAGTAATAAATTGTTTTAATGTAAAATAGTTAACTAAAAAACCGTAATTTAACGAGGTTGAATGTAATTTTATTAAAGTTATTCATAGAAAGATTCTTTCAGCTGTTACAATTTGAACAAAGTACCAAATATTATACTTTATTTTTGAAATTGTGAAAATATATGGCCGTAGTGTTTCGTTCGAAATAAGAAAAACCATCTGGCAATAGCCGTATATTGAGAACCTTCATATAAAATTTTATGGATTTTAATTTGTATTCCTTCCTGTAATATTCATAAACAACGGTTCTCGTAATACATCCGTGTAAATATATTATATATTAAGTTATATATTATCAGATATAGCTATAAAATCAAGCATTTAAAAATATTCTAACAACTACTTACAAAATAGATTACTGTAGTTATTGTAAGCCGATAATCAATTAATTACTTATACTGAAAATAAATCTGCTTTTTTATTATCTTTTGATGTGTTTGTAACATTTGTGTTAGAAGTGGTTACATTTGGCAAATTATCCGCAGCTGCCGCCCGTTCAGCCAAGAACCTCTCAAAATCACTGCTTGAGATTGCTTCTTCTGCTCCAGGCTACGATAAAAAGGATTAGGCATATAACTATCAATATAGTAAAATATTGATAAGTATATAGAACAAAATAGAATTTAATTAAATATGAGCAGAAATAAGAAGAAAAGAAGGCAAGACACCAAAAGAAATATAACCAAATTATACTAGATTCACTTTAATCTTCTATTAAAGAAATTATCTTTTGACAACTACATATTTTACATATCAGAAAGTTGAACCATTGGTTTATAAGTTAAATTGAGGCTGACGCTTCCAGATCTGATCAATTATCCATCAATTATTATTTGTTACCTATAGAATTATACAGATCCCCTTCTCTTATATGGTCAATAGTAGAACTTTAAAAAAATTGAAAACTTTTTCAAAAATTTAAATCGAACAACTTTAGTAACGCGTAACTTACTAAGCAAGAAAAGAGCAGATGCAAGCTCAGAATGGTGCCTACGAGGAAGAAGAGGAACTGTTATACAGGGTGTCCCGAAATTAATGCAACAACATTTGGTCATTGTTTTTGGTAGCAAATTACTTGTCATAGAAAAATTAAATGAGCATAGCTTTTAGCATTTTGAAAATTTTAAAATCACCTCTCCTTAGGGGTTGAAAAAATGCCAAAAAAGAAGAATTTGAATATTTTCCTAGACCTGGATTATCTTTATATATTTTTTGGAATTATTTCTGATATTCTCTATTTTTGGGGATGATTCCACCCCCTGAGCGCGCTTAAGGGTGTATTTTCTAATTCAACATGCTTATTTCAGTCATGAGAATAAATCTTTCTTTATATTTATTGGTAATATTCAATTCTTCATTTTGGGTGTCTTTTCAACCCCTAAATAGGGGTGATTTTTGAAAATTTTCAAAAAACTAAAAGCTATGCTCATCTTAATTTTTTACGATGAGTAATTTGAGACCAAAAACATATTTTTATCTATTTTCTTTAGTTCTCGGCGAATTGTGAAAAAACGGGCGGTTTTTGTGGTAACTGTTTAGGGAACCCGTATTTTTTCTTTTTGCCAAGTGGCCCCCTCTTTCGGAGTTACAGCCCCTTGAAATATGCCCCTAAGAATAGTATTTTTTATATCTCAGAACCCTGTTGTAAGAGAATCACTAAATTTGGTACACAGGGGTTTTATGACATGTGGAATCTGATAGTGCTATGCTTTTTGGCTGGGAACCTCCTTCGGACACTTTTTCGTGGGTCTTTAGATCCAAAAATATTTGGTCGCAAATTTGAATTTCTTAAAAATTATTAGTTAGTTAGAAAGCCATTGAATTTAGAAACTTTTTTGTCCCTTGATATTTTTTTCATAAAACGTAATGTTTTTGAGGAAAATGGCAAATCACGATATGCATTCAATCACATTTTGACATTTTTCTCGAAAACATTGCGTTTTACGAAAATAATATCGAGTAACAAAAAAGTTTCTAAATTTAATGGCTTTCTAGCAGACTAATAATTTTTAAGAAATTTAAATATGCGACCAAATTTTTTTGTATCCAAAGGGGGCCCACAAAAAATTGTCTTAAGGGGGTTCCCCAGGAAAAAGGGTAGCACCATCAGATTCCATATGTCAAAAAATCCACCCCTGTGTACCAAATTTAGTGATTCTCATACAACAGGGTTCTGAGATATAAAAAAAAAGATTATTCTTAGGGGCGGATTTCAGGGGGCTGAAACTATGAAAATGGAAGCCACTTGGCAAAAATAAAAAATACGGGTCCCCTAAATTTGTCTTAAGAATCTGTGACTAAATTTTGTTGCATTAATTTCGGGACATCCTGTATGGTGCTGGAATCCCTAATTGATCGGAAAGCACTCTATTATAACTTTCTCAAATTTCTAGTTTTCGGAAACGTGTTTCGTTATGAAAATTGAAAGTGTGTTTCTTTCTGAAATTACAAAGAACATGAACCAACAATTGAGATGGTATAATTTTATGGGTGTTTTTTATTCCAAATAAGTGAAAAAAAATTGAGAAAACTTAAATTTTTACAATTTTTATCAGCAATGGGGTTCATATTCTTAGAAAACAAGTTAATAATGCAGGAAAACGACCATTTTACTTTTACATCAAAATTATACCGCCACATTTCCCGTGAACAACCAACTCGGACAACGACCTTCGGCAGACATAACTTCGGCATTTTCAAAACAAATGGCTTGAAAAAATTTGTCAATGTAGTTCAGAATATTGATAAAATAATGTCAAAATTCGAACAAATTCTAATAAATTTGTTCCACTCAAACAATGCTTAGATAAAATATGGCTGCTTACGGAGTTACAGGGGCAAAAATCATTTAAAATTTTTTAAATAAAACACCCTGTAACTCTGTAAGGAGCCATATTTCATCTAAGCGTTACGTGTCAATTCTAAATTTTTTTCAGCCCAGGATTATCAAGTTAGCGTATGTAGAATTATTAATGAATCACCCTGTATAACCTTCTTCGTGTATGTCAATTATAAAATAAATAATGCAGATTGCCACTTACCGTATTGCCAAGCCAATTGGCCATTTCATCAAATTCACGATCCTCAGGATTCTGTACAACACATAAAGCAACATTATAGAAAAGAAAATAAACATAAAAAGCTCAAAGAAAAAGTAGAATTGTTGATTAATGTTGATACTTACAGACTGCTTCCTTTGCGTAAAAGAGCTTAGACCTCCTGACACTTGATCAGGCTCTAAGTTATCTTTATAAGTACTACCACTGCAAGAAACAAATGTGTTACCTAATTATTTACATATACAGGGTAGGAAAGTACCGATGGTCTATCTGAAGTTACGTGAGAGCGATAAAGTAAGCCATAGAAATCCATGCGATAGAGAAGGATGGCTATAATGAAGGGGTCCATAGTCACTGCCCGTTTCGCCCTTCCACAAATAAGATCCACTTCTTATTTGTGGAAGGGCGAAATGGGCGTTGACTATTAGACGCCTTCATTATAGCCATCCTTGTCTATCACATGGATTTCTATGGCTTACTTTATCGCTCTCACGTAACTTCTGATAGACCATCGGTACTTTCCTACACTGTATACAGGGTGTCCTACTAAGGTCAGCGAAGTACGATATTAGGGAAAGTTTAGAAGGTAGAACTTCGGAAAAATAAAATTGAGTAATAAATCAACCAAGAGAAATCGCTGGAAATAGTTTTCAAGTTCGTAGCTCGGCCGCTAGGGGGCGCAATCTACATACCAAAACATAGAGTTGAATTTCTCTCAGAAATATTTCCCATTCAGGTATATTAAATAGTACAAATATGGCTAACCGAATTCATTGCGCATAACTCTTGTTATCGACATTTTGTTCTATCTCTCGACAAAAAGTGAGGGGGAAGCCCCTAATGTCTGATAAGAAAAATGCATTTTTCTAAGGATTGGCTCATCAAAAGCCCATAGTGTTGTACCTCGTTGGAGGTCTTTTCATGCTTTATCTTGTGGTGAATGCGTAATGTCATATACCTCAATATGGAAACCTATTATTCAATTCAATTCAATTCCTTTATTTCCATTGAATAATTTACAAATTGTATTGGAATTGTCAATAAAAGTGTAAAAGCTACATAAAATCCGTAAATACTAAACACACAAAATAACACTTTAACAAACAACAAATACACATATATTATACATCAAAGGATTAGTTAATATTATAAAATCCTTTGTATACTAAATGCTGCTTTAAGCACTTTTTAAACAGTCCAGTCGATGAGCAACTTTTTAGTTCAGAAGGTAACTTATTGTAAATTTTTAGACCCAAGTAATTGGGTGATCTGCTGGCAACATTTAACCTACAAAAAGGCACGTAAATTTATAGTGGATATTATCATGTTTTATAAATTTGTCCTGATTATTATGTATATACAAACACAGCTCATATATTAAGAGAGATGGCATTGTTAAAATTTGGTGTTTTATAAATAAATCCCTACAGCTAACAAAAGATGGCATATGAAACATTACTCTCAATATTTTTTTTTGTGCGACAAAAACATTACCTGACATTGAAGACTGCCCCCAAAAACAAATTCCATATCACAATCGGCATTCAACTTCAGCGTAATATAGATTTATTAGATGATTAATGTTTAAAACTGTGTAAATGGAGTTATTTCAAAAGAATGCCGTTTTATGGATTTTTTTTCAAAAATTTTAAGTGCAATGCTATAATTTTCTTTACATAAATGAATTCAGCACAAAAAAATTGATAAATATAGGATAAGTTTGGAATTTCTAACGTAAGTGTTGTTTATTTATTGGCGCTATTTATTCAAGTTTAGGTTTTACGGTTTCTTAAAAAAGTGAAATAGCAGGATAAAACTTCTTATAGGTTAGTTTGAAGACCATAAAAATAGCTACATTTTGATGGCAAAAAGGGTTCAATATCTTTTTTTGTTATCAAGTTATTCGTAAATTAGTGAGCAAAAAATAATGATAATGAATTGAGGAACATGGTTCTAAAAAAAGGTTGACGGCAGACTAGCGCCAAGGACCAGGTACTTCTACGAGTGATTCCACACCAAGAGGGACTCTCCAGCGAACACTCGCCCCGACAACACTTCTTTTATTGCGCACGTCCACCAGTCGTCCATAAAAAGATAAAAAGTCTGCACTAATTATCAGTTTAGAGACATCTGCGAAGACAAATTTCCATGTAAAACAGCGATGCAACTGGAGGCTTAATGTCATTGTTACTGTACGTAGCAATTGATTTACCGCGGAAAGTTCGTAGGTCGATTTCGATCGCGATGATTTCATCAGCGCATGCGGATATACACAAAGATCAAGACCCGTATCGACGAGAAACTGGACCTTGGAGTACGTATCCGTAACGTTCAAACGGCGTGGAATCGAGCATGTATTTTTATTGAAAACTAAATTTGTAAAAAAGTCGTGTTTGCTGGAGAGTCCCCCTTGGTGTGGAGTCACTCGCAGAAGTACCTGGTCCTTGGCGCCAATCTGCCGTCCACCTTTTTTTTTTGGAACCCTGTTGTGTCCCGGGTGGCGTCAGGATGGCGCTATTGACGTTGATCTTAAAAATTAGTCACTTGCAGCATGTGTAGGTACCCATACAAACTAACCTATAACAGTTTTATCCTACTATTTTACGTTTTCAAGAAAACGTGAAACAACCTAAACTTGGATAAATAGCGCTAATAAATAAACAACACTTTCGTTAAAAATTTCAAATTTATACTATATTCATCAATTTTTTTGTGCTGCATTCATTTATGTAAAGAAAACTATAGCGTTGCATTTAAAATCGTTGAGAAAAGTCCATAAAATGGCATTCTTTTGAAATAACGCCATTCTTTTGAAATAACGCCATCTAAAGGTTTCCATATCGAGGCAAATGACATTACGCATTCACCACGAAATAAAGCATGAAAAGACCTTTCCAACGAGGGATAACGACTTTTGATGAGCCAATCCTTAAAAAAATGCATTTTTCTGATCAGACATTAGGGGCTTCCCCAACCCTTTTTGTCAAGAGATAGAACAAAATGTCAATAACAAAAGTTATGTGCAATGAATCCAGCTATCCATATTTGTACTATTTAAAGTACCTGAATATGAAACATTTCTGAAAAACATTTAACTCTATGTTTTCGTATGTAGAATGCGCCCCCTAGCGGCAGAGCTATGAACTTCAAAACTATTTCCAGTGATTTCTCTTGGTCGATTTATTAATCAAAATTTTTTTCTCGAAACTCTCGATATTAGAGAAAGTATAGGCCTTATACTTTCTCTAATATCGTACCTCACCGTCCTTAGTGGGACACCTTGTATATTATCTACATTGTATACAGCGTGACCGCTAAAAAATGGGACCAAATTTCAGCACTACATTCTATGATGAAAATCATTTGGAAAGTTCATACAAATATTTGCGGATAGATACTTACCTTTGTTTCGAGTTTTCATATGTTACATTTCTTGACTGGGCAAACATGTCGAATTCGTCATAATTTGTTTTATCCGTGCTTTCAGGTTTATTCGTGCTATGCGACGAATTCGGTTCGGACACACCTACAAAAACCTACATTTTTAACTGCACCCGAGTACTTTGCCAACTTACTAATTTTGTTTAACTGTTCCGGAATATCGTCTCCAAAATCTATAAGGCTATCGCTTGGTTCTAATGGAGGCTTCGAGGTTGGAGGAATAGCTTTCGCGATGACCGCAGATGCAGACTGTTTCATACCCGCTTCCCTATTCTTTTCCCATCTGCTGTACCGAAGAAACAAATTGTTTAAGTCGTCGTTTATTCTAAGCAATTCTTCGAATAAACCATCGTTAGGTAATTTATTTATTAATTCTACCAGTCTTTCCTGCATACTATGACAAACCGCATGGAGTTCCTGAAATAGATAATATTGTTCGTAGAATTTTAATTCCAGATTAAAAAAATCAACAATAATCTAAAATAATTAAATTAAAAAGTTCCCCTCTATTTTTTCTCAAAAATTTCATCATAATTTAGTTGATCATTAGAAGACAAAACAAAAATTGGAGCAAAAAATTCTAATTGACAAATAAATATTAGGGTGAACTTAAAACTAGTAGCACTTATCACCGTATTAACGTAATCGCAATTACCAAAACGAAAATAAAGTAGTTGGATACCAACGATTGGTATTGTAATAAAAGCTAGAATGCGTGATAATTTGTTTGTCAGTTTTTGGAACAGTTTGGGACCTATTCAGATGGTAAAAAACATCAGCCACTTCTAGGCAACAAATGCTGACAAATCAGGTGTCTCAAGTAGATTTTAGTGTCACCAGATAAAGTCGTTAAAGGATACCATCTCATTGTTCGTGTCTTGTAATCAAAAGCTAAAAATTTACAAAACTTAGCCGTCGCTGCAACTTAGAAGAAGGACATCATAAAAATTAGAACCCATTTTGAATAACTATACTCGCAAACATTTTTGGAGATCTGGAAGGTCCACACATCTTTTTGGAATAAGAAGAAGGGAAAAATCGATATTTGTTCCTCACGGGCTTCTCAGGTATCTACCCGCGAAAATAGGAAGAAATGGAAGTAGGGATTCCAAAACACGGCTGTATTATGTCACAATGTTTTAAGGAAATTAACGCCGAAATTGAGAGAGAATTTTTTCTAAGAAAAACAAGAGATTTAGGTCAACAAAGACTTCCATCATTCAGGGTTAAAAATAGGGTTATGTCGACAGAATAACAAGTACTTAAGGCATAAGGAAGGGGGACGCCTTCTTTACCCTTAAGTGTCTAAATTTTCAAATAAGGTCATAACAAAACTTCTGAACGCAGAATGGGCGGAGTCGTAATGCAGTGTAATCCCTGGAAAAGGTAGATCTCCTTGGGTTTCCAGACAGTCCGATTTATTTAATTTTGGAATATCAAAGTTAATTTATTAAGGGGTTATATCTTGATTCCACGTTACATGCAAAAAATAGTCATCGACATTGTTTATTTGAACCCGTTGTGTTATAGTCGTTTTATTTGTTCAATTTTATACATTGTATAAATTGTATAATCTTCCTTAAGAAGTTCCGGTATTTTCCCGTTCTCTTATTAAGTGACCCGTTGAGTGAGAGTGCAATACCCTGTATGACCAACCCATGGATTAAACGCTACGTTAGCAAAAGAACAGTAAGTGCCTGGATTTCATTCTCTGACTTGATCCACAAATTAAAAATAATCTATTCCACAAATTGATATTGTTAAGGCATTGTTTGTAATGATGGATAAAGAAACAACCCCATAAACTTACACCACCTTGTACATCTACATAATATTTAGAAAATAAAGTCTTGTTAAATAAGTTTAATAAGTTCGTTTTCATAAACTTTCCGATTAACATTATTAACCATAAGATTTATATATTTACCGAGCTAGATAAAAAATTAATCTCCTTATATTGACAATAAAATTTATAGGTACGATAAAATTCTATCTTAAAATAGCCTTATCATTCATTTACCTGTAATAATTCCAGTTCATCAGGTTGCTCTTCTCCCGGCTTTAACTCGCATAACATCTCACCCAAAACACTCATATTACTCTGAACAACATCTAATTCACTCTGCAATTTTGCTCTTTGTTCGGGAGTTAAATATCCCGTCGGGCCGGGAACGTCGCCTTCCGGGGTTGTAGGTTGAGGCGCATGAGGTTCAGTTACCACTCTAGCGGAAGTAACACTCTGCAAGTACAACATTAAGAAACAAACAGAAAACGTCTAAATAAGCTTATTTCATTGCAAAATGAAAGTTGTGGTCTTTATTGAAAGCTCCTCCTATTTTAAATTTCTTACTTTTTTTGGAGTATGAATAGGAGCTAAAGAATCCAAATCAGTAGGAGGAAATTCTATTCCTTTGGCGAGCAGGTCTTGATAAACAGTTGTTACACCAGACATCTCAGGTTGATTTTGGAATGCACTAGCCCAGGATTGTATTAAACTTAAAACTTTTTCTTGAACGGCAGTTGGTGGATCATTTTTTGGTCCTATTAATTTTACCTACAAAAAATTTAGATGTTTCGATTCAGTCATTATGAAGTATTTTATACTTATGTCCCACAGTATTATTAGAAAGTAAAATTTTAACCCAATAAATCAATAAAGTTTGTCTGGTTGTAGGTTACACTTTCTATTTAACTCAATTTATCCAAAAAAATTGGGGATATTAGAAATAGTTCAAATTTATTGGTCAATTTTGGGAATTTTTACATACATGTTCATTATTGCAATTACGTTAGTCCGGCATAAGTCTATCATGAATGCTGGTTTACTCTTATCATGATTGATATACAGTGAATTGTAATAATTTATCACCTGATTTCTTAAAAAAATTATTCAAACAAAAATTACATGTTAAACATATTTTAAGGGCAAATAGTTATTATAAAAATTAAAAACTAAAGTTATGGTCTTAAGTCAGTTGAACATGTATAAAAACGCCCAGCAATAAAATTTAATGAGTTTCATAGGTGTCCCTAAAAAAGTTTTCTGCTAAAGGTATAAAATAATATTAATTTGTATATAATGTGTAGAAAATTTCTATTATATGTTCATTTGGCCAACAAGAGATTTTAATTATTTATGTCCTCAAACAATTTTATTACATTGACAGTAAATTTTGGTTATGACATACCTATCAAAAAACATATACATTTTCCTTAAAATATATTACTCGCCAAGAACGATTGGGAAGGTATGAACATATCCTTGCCAGGAAAGGTTGACAGTTTAGGTTAGAAGTTATTAAATAAAAATTATCAACATTAAAATAATTCCACATTGCTGCACTACACTGCTAAGCAATTTGTCAACAACTGAAATTTATGGCGCAGTCACCCTGTGTGGCTGTGTTTGTGCGGCGTTTGCCTTCAACTGGTCGTATACATTTCTACCACCTCCACGTTTAGTTCGACCAGACCTGTATACGAGTATGGCTAAATAAATATGGGAAAAAATATTTGAAATATTTATATATTTCATATTGCTGCATAGCGACCAAACCTGGTACATACTGTCTAGCTCTTTGGTCTTCAATTGAGATCGGAAAGACTATACTAATGATGCCAACTTAATTTGACATAGTTCATTCTGTTTGTGTTTTGCCAAAGGTTTGTTTATTTCTTTTGTGGACAGTAAAATACATTATTAAACAGAAGTAATGAGTAGAGCTCAACATTTTGACATGTAAATGGTGGTTTATTTTAACATTTTTAACATGGTAATTTAAATTTCTTAATGACAATACTGATTTGGCAAGCAAATGTCAGGCTCTAGTAATCAGATCAGAAAACCTATTCAAACGCATTATTTTTATTGTCTGCACAATTAGTAATTTTTCTTACCAACTCCTGAATAAATTCTTTGTTGCAAACTAGGACATGAAACTTTTTTCCACAATTTTTTACGCACGTCTCAAGTATAGTTAATGTGTACATAACTACAGTATAATTTTTTCCTGCATTTTGCGAAAGTCGTTTGCGAATGGCCTTAATGGCATCCCGTGGTCCTTCCTCTGTCTCGTTTACTAGGTCACATATTTCCATATTAAGTGCCCAGTTTTCAGATGCCAAAGTTCCATCTGTAGCTTGTTCTATAACAAACCACAAGTTAGTATCCTATGATGCCCGTATTTAAATAAAAAAGGATGTTAGCCATATATCTAAGAAATAGTCCATTGTTTAAGTGCCTCTTTTTCAAGATACAGATATTAAATAAAAACTATAATTCAAAAAAAGATCTTTATTAATAATTGTTTTTTTCAGTAGAAATTTCGCATAGACTTTTATCCTATGATGGTACATGTTTTGTATAATTTTAACAAACGATAATTAAAGCAAAACAAAGTATATGTCAAAGATTCAAATGTACTATTTTTTGAGACCAAGATTGTTTCCTTTGCTTTATTAATTACTTTATTAATAACTTATTTTGATTCAAGAAATTTTTACGCTTACATTGTCCATCTATTTTAAAGACACCCTGTATAAATAAGGTATGCTTCATATATTTTATCTTCCTGGATTCATAAAATAATCAATTAATTAGTCAAACAATAAAAAAAACGATTATTTAAAAAAGGTAAATAATTACAGCAGCAGCAGCAGTTAGTTTCTGTTACACAGCAGATTACTATCACAGTCAATTATTTCTATACAAATTTAAAATATATACCTAAAATCTATAATTTCTGTTTAAAAAAGTTTGCCTTCTAATTATGTAGCAACAACACCTTGTTAGATAAATGTGACAGACCATCAAACGCATCCAGTAAGATACTAGTATTATTTAGATAACATTCCACCAAATTATTAAATACGAAAACCACAAGATTTGTAGTATACACGGTATCCCAGAAAACAGTCCTCTAACTGCAGTCAGATTCCTGAGGTAAAAACAACTAAATTTAACTCACCTTCTTTCAAAATGCTTAGTTTAAATGTTACAGGGTGTTATTTGTTGTCATTTGTGCCCGAGATCTGACAAGAATATAATTTAAATACAATCATCTTTAAAAGTTTGATTCTCTATATCAGGTGGGGAGTGTGGGGATGTTTGACTTCGTTCTAGGGATCTTTTAACCAAAACAACTACATCTGTGAATTTTGTGTTAATATAGCATAAATCACTTCTTAATTTTTCAGAAAATTGCGGAAAATTTTAAAAATTATGTTTCCACAAACTTTTTTTATTTATTCAGAAGCAGAAACTGGAAGGACCTCAAAAAATATTTAATTGATATATTTGGGTCGTATTGCTGTAACTAATACAGTTTACTATGTAAAATACCAATATAAATGCTGACCAAGGAAAACAATATGTACAGTTCAACTTATTTTATCTGACCACTGAAGGTCAGGTGTCCAGTGGAAAAATATAGGAGCGGCCCACTCATTTGGTTATCAGAACTCGTAGAGTAAACTTTATACATTCTCGAAAAATATTTTACAATACTATTAATAAATTAAATCAGAATAAATAAAATTATAATAATTAAAAATATATCATTATGTAAATAATTGAGTTTTAATGCATTTAAAGGCAGTAGGTAATATCAAAAGTATTACTCATTCTTGCTTCCTTTTTTTAATTGTACTTTAATCGAGACTTTAATTCCTGAAATAGGTTGAACTGTCCCTACATAATACCATCTAAAATTTTCTTACAAATTAATTTCGTGTAAGTATTACTTTACTTATTAATAGGTCTAAGGACATATTTGGATCCTAACTCCATTTACGATCGGAAAAGGTACTTTTGTAGGAAAAAAAAACAATATTATATGAAAATCATATAAGAGAATATAGATTTTAATGATGTTAAAATTCTTATTTTGTAATATAACACGAATTTTACTACACTACAAATGTAATTCACTCTAATCTTACAAGTTCATATTATTTTCAATATATGATAGCTACTTATTACTTATTAAATAAAACCATAAAATGTTTTATTACACTGTACTACCTGATTTCTGTTTGTAATTTTAGATATTCTCCCAGGTAAATACACAAATATTTGTGCTGTATTATGACATAGCAAAATATTGAATTTAATAGATATACAATGTTGCACAATGTTTAGATAATACCTATATGTACCTACTTCTTGGATTTGATTTTACTTTTCACTACTTAGGATAATTTTCATATAGGTACTTATAGTAGGTAGGGTAGGCAATTATATATGAATAATTAGTTATTTAATTGGTATTTAACAAACAATTTGTAAGAGATTGAACATTGACAAAGTAAATACTGTTACAAGATTCTATCCATAAAAGTGATTAATGTTAATAGTTAATTATAAACATGAATAGCTTAACTGGTTGTCAATAAAAACAAACCTTAATCTATTTAATATGACTACATTTTTCGGCATTAAAGTATTATTGACTATAAATAAACATTTTCTTTATACGTACCAATTTTACTCCCTACAGCCGTGGAAAATGGATTTCCAATTAATGCGTTGGACAGAAAAGACATTTTGGTTTTATTTCAAAATATTTGCTGTGCACTGTGCAATTAGTTTGACACCCATCAATGTCAACGTTGTCAAATGTCAAAATAAGAAAATGCACAAAACAATAGGCGATTTTTAATGTTACAGCGGGTTAAACCGACCTTTTAAACCACCTACGTTTCAACCGTACTTATTCGCCGCCATTATTCTATGGCTAGAAATTGGCCTCAATGATTTGGGATCGAGGGGGATTATCCCTCTTTATCCTGCCTCATCTCGTGTAGGCCTGGACAGCCTTCGTAGGTGGGCCCCATCCGTCGTCTACCCCGACCGCAAATGCGGCCGGTGTAGGCGCTTTGTGGGACCTCCTTTTGTCCTGGCTGGGCCCCGCCGGCTAGGGCCCTTTCTTCTGGCGCTCTTCTTGCTTCGCCGGCTCGTCTGTGTAAACCCCGGGGGTAGTGTCATGTTTATGTGTGGTATGGTTGGGTAGGGTAGTGCGGCTATGCAGCCTGGGATGCGCTTTGCTAAGGTGGCCCTTAGGCTAGCGCGGGAGGGGAGGGTTAAGGAGGGTATGGGGGGTGTGTGTGTGTGTGTGTGTGTGTGTCGTTGTCTTCGTTTCTTGATCCTGGCTGTCTCTGAAACAGAAAAGGTTAGCGGGCAGGGGGGGGGTCATTGGGGTGGTCACCCAGGGTCAAAAAGTTGGTGTCTAGGTCTTTTGTGTTTGTCGGTCACGTCGGGTACGTAGTCAACGGCTTGCCTGAGGAGGGGATTGTCATGTCTAGCGGCTACGTCAAATCGTTTCTCCGCGTTTTGTCTTATTGTCTGTGTAGCGTTTGTGTATTGTAAGTCTCGTAATATGTCAGTGTTTCTTACGTACCAGGGCGCGTCGGTGGCCGTGCGGAGGGCTATGTTTTCCACAGCCTGTAATGACTTTAAGTGGCTTTTTGCCGCGTGACCCCACGCCGTGGAGGCGTAGGTTAGCTGCGGTTGAAGTACCACCTTGATAAGCGTTCGCTTATTCCTTAAACTGAGGGTGTTTCCACCTTTGAGTAAGGGATAGAGCCTAGCCCTGGTGGTCTTCGCTCGCGCCACCGTCTCCACGATGTGCGGTTTCCACGTGAGACGCTGGTCCATCGTCACGCCCAGGTATCGTGTTTGTCGATTCCAGGAGATGGGTTCCTGGGATAGTGTCAGTCTGTCAAGGTTTTGTGGGATTTTTCGTTTGGTAAAAAGGATAGCCGAACTTTTGTTGGGATTAATTTTGACTTTCCACCTGTTGCACCAGGTTTCAAGTTGGTCTAAGGAGCTTTGGAGGAGGTAGACGGAATATCTAGGATCTACGGATTGGGATGTGATTGTCAGGTCGTCGGCGTATAAGTATATGTTGGTGTTGGGGGGATGTGGGATGTCGGAGTTGTAAATGGTGTATAGGTGTGGGGACAGGACGGTGCCCTGGGGGACACCGGCCTCCATGGGACGGGTGGTGGAAAGGGAATCTTGGATTTGGATGCGGAATTTTCGGTGGTGTAGGTAGGATTTTATGAGTTTGGTAAAGGATATGGGATATTGGTTGGTGAGCATTTTCATCAGTAGGCCTTCATGCCAAACCGTATCGAAGGCCTTTGCGACGTCCAGGAAGACAGCACCAGTGTACTGTCCCCTGTTGAAGGCCGCCGTGATGTGCTCGGTAAGGCGAAGGATTTGGAGTTCAGTGGAGTGATTGGGTCGGAAGGCGAACTGCTCGTCTGGAATGACTTGCAGTTCTTGGGAGTGGGTTCTTAGACGGGTTAGGATAATTTTTTCTACCACTTTGCTCATAGCCGGGAGCAGGCTAATGGGCCGGTAGTTGGATGGGATGGTGTGATCTTTGTTGGGTTTTGGGATAAGGATTATGTTTGCTGTTTTCCAGCGGGTAGGGAAGTGTCTTAGTCTGAGTGTCGCGTTTGTTATGTTTAGTAGGGCCATGAGGCCCTTGTGTGGTAGTCGTTTAAGTGTCGTGTTATGTATATTGTCGGGTCCGGGGGCTTTTCTGTTTTTAAGTCTGCGTATTGTCAGTCTTAGTTCGTCAGGTGTTGCGGGGGGGATTATGTCATTGTCTGGCTCTCTGTCGACGCGTCGGGCCGCGCGCTCAGCCACTATCTCGAATTCCTCGTCTTCGTCGGGCAGCTGAGGCAGTCTACACTGCAGTTCCAGGCTATCGGCGAAAGCCTCGGCCTTTTCCTGGTTCGTGTAAACCACCCCCACACTACCGTGGATTGGAGGAATTTTACGGCGAGCGGTCTGTCGCAGGGCCCTCTGCGTTTTCCAGAGGCTGTTGTCTTGTGGATCCAGCGACTCCAGGTGCCTAGCCCAGTTATCCTGGGCCAGTTCATCCAGAGCCGCCTTCACCCGTCTGTTAAGTACGTTTAAGTCATGTCTGTGTCGGGGGAGTCGGGTGCGGGTGGCAAGCCGTTTCGCACGTCGTCTGTCACGTATTAAGTTTTTTATGTCATCGGGGAGGGTGCCCCGGGGGTTTGTCAGTCGGGGGACAATAGTCTCCGTCGTAGTCTGAGTCAGGGCGTTTTTAATGTCAGTCTCAAGGGAGAGGATTGCCGCCTCCAGATCATGGGTGGTTTCGTACTTATTCAGATTGCGAATTTAAACAGTAAGAAGTTTCGAGTTCTCATGCAATAGTTTCGAACATAGAAATTGAAATCTACTAGAACGTACTTATTTAGCGATATTCATCCATGGTAGCAGCCATTTTGGTTGTAGTTCCTGACATTTGCAACCATAGATAAACTACTATTTTATGCAACGGCTATATAATACAATGGGTGTATTAACGTAGCAGGCAAAATTAACTGGTTTCTTCTGGACTTAGCGTTAGTCTGGATCTACATGCATTCGTGATCACGGATCCGTTGTAACCACATGACCATCAACATCCAATTGTGCATCAGTAAACCGACTTGACAATCCGTCAAGGTCAAAACGGATGAAAGTTGGTTAATGTTAATTTCAACTTTGTACATATCACGTAACCGTTCCAACGAGATCATTGTAGTACAATGACAGAGAAAGTATGTATAAACAGTCACGGACGTTACATGTGGATGGACCAAATTTCGCATATACATACGTTACATTCATAGTTAAAACATTGCTCAGTTACAATAACTTTATGCTCGGTAAATACATAAGGTAAGTTCGATATTAAGATCTGGATGTATCTCTTTGTATTTTCATTTATTGCAGATAGAAAAAGAAAAAATACATCCAAAGCATCTAGATATTAATACCAAACCATCCTACATTTGCAAAAAATACTATAACAGTTCATAAAATGGGCGTCCCTCACAATTTTTGTATCTTTTTCTTATTCTAATCCAGTTCCGCTCAATATAGCTCTGTCAAAAAAACAACAACCAAAATGGCTGCACCGGATACCTGATCTTTATAGTAGCTTATGTTGATCCTACCATGTGTCGTCTGTTTTCTACTATCTCCATGGTTTTGACTTTGACATTGGCAAAACAGTATTTGTTTTTTTATAGAAGAGGACCATAGTTGAGAAATCGGTGTTACTGTTGAAAAAGTGCTTGTTTTTGTATGTTTTGAAAATGTCACTTGATTTAAGTAAAAACAATGCATCATTACAGAATGCTTGGAAAGATGTTTTAAATGAAAAAAGTAAAACAAATTGGTAAGGTACTTTTTATTTTTTTATCAATAAAAATCTCTGTACTTACTAAGCAGTAAATAATATTGAAGTACCTAATATATAATATTACCTATTTTTTATTATTTACAAATTGGAAATGTTTGTTTTCTGATAAGGATAAGTAATGTACTACAATGTAGGTTTAAAAAACTATACTTACCTACTAAAATTCAAGATTATTATCTAAAAAAATGTTAATAATTTGGAAAAAACATATTGCAAATGAAGGTTTTGTTACAAATACAATTTAATTATTAAGAAATTAAAAAAATATTGATGTAGAACTTTGAATTTTCTAAGGAATAATAAGCAGCAATTTTCCGAATTTGTGATGTTTTCCTAAAATTTAAACACTAACTTGGTACTTAATGCAGCAAAGAATACTTTTTTTATAATTCAATTTATATAGATATATGTTTACTTAAGTAATAAGAAATAAGAATAAATTAGAAGTTTTAGTGAAAATTTAAAATTCACCCTGTATATCTACAAATTTTGAGCCATGATTAAGGACCAGGCCTCATTTTGTATTTTTTTTATCCCAAGTTATGGAAAATTAATGTCACATTTTCGTGCAATAAGTGTTTACCCATCTTCTCAATAATTTTTTTAAAAATCTGGATTCTTGTAAACACGGTACTACTTCAGCTTTGCTGCATGTAACTGATAAGCTTTTTAAAATATGACTGATGAGAATGTCTGCCTACTTTCTGATGCTGTTAGATTATAGTAAAGCATTTGACACTATTGATCATCGTACTTATGCTTAAGTTAAAATATTTTGGTCTCAGACTTGATACATTTTTTTTTCAAATTATTTCTTATACCTAGAAGTTGTTATTGACAATAATTTTTCATATTTAAGTAAAATTAATACAGGTGTTCCACAAGGAAATGTGTTAGGTCCATTATTATTTTCCATGTATACTACTGATTTATGCCATTATTTGGATTATTCCATCTTACATCAATATGCTGATGACTGCCAACTAATATTTCATTCCTCCAAGAGAACTATTAAAATAACTGTTCAAAATATTAATGCAGATTCTTCGATATCTCTTAACAATGGTTTAATTTTAAATGAAGCTAAAACTAATCTACTTTTCAGTAAGAACGACCCTAATTTTACAATAAAAATTAATAATAAACTTATCGTATCTAAGAGTTGTTGCAGAAACTTAGTACTTAGTTTTTCTGAACATAAGAAGTATTATAAAAAAATAGTTGTTTATTTATTTCTAAAGATTGTCTCAGTCAACAAGTGGTACTTTAATTCTTAGTTATATGTCATACTGTGATATAGTTTATTGGCCAGCTATTTTAAATAAAGATAAGGAAAGTATTCAAAAAAAAAAACAAAATTGTATTTAGCTTGTCTCATATATAAAGTTAAATGTTAAAATGTTCCAAATATTTATACAATAACTCATTAAAAGGTAGCAGCTTTCACAATTAAAAATTTTCATCTATTTACTCTTTCAGAGAACAGTTCAAAGTATTCTAAAAGAATTTTATAATATTTACAAGTTAATATGTGTTATTTTCTCCAATTGTGGTTTCCGTTATTTTTTGGTTTCCTTTTTTAACATGACTGTATTCTATGTAATATTTACTGGGATGATTGGGTGGAAGAGCAACGATGTTCAACTTTACCATCTCTGTTCACTTAGATGTTAATTGTTTTATTAATATGAATAAAGGCATTTTATTATTATTGTTATTATATAAATTCATAGCCTGCATTTAAATAAAATTGCGGTAAAAATTTAATAAATCGTAGATATTCATGTATTTAGAAAGAAAAAGATATTTTTATTGGTATCTGATGTATAATCGACTAACTAAAGTATTAAGATCCTAATAAAATTTAGTAATACAGTACAATTTTTTTTTCAGGGCCCTGTTCGGATATGAAGGACAAACAAATTCATTAAAGGTGGTTTCTACTGGCTGTGAGGGAATTGAAGAACTGAGAGAAGATCTCAATAGTGGAAAAATAATGTACGCCTTTGTCAAAATGACTGATCCCAAAACCTCATTAGACAAATACGTTTTAATAAACTGGCAAGGAGAAGGAGCAAATACAGTTAGAAAGGGAATGTGTGCGAATCATTTACGTGACATAGAAAAATTTTTTAGAGGGGCTCATTTAACTATAAATGCAAGAAACGAAGACGAAGTTGAACCGGAACTTATAATTGAAAACCTGAAGAAAGGAGGCTCTGAATATAGATTTAAGGTGAAACCGGAGATAATAGAACCTGTCGCTCCAGTAGGTACTACTTATCAAAGAGTAAATCCAGTTAAAGAAATAAATTCGCAAGAACGTGATCAGTTCTGGAGGAAGGAAGAGGAAGAAGAAAGGAAACGTTTAGACGAGGAGAAAAAGAAAAAACAGTCTGAAATATACAAATTGGAGCTGGAAATTGCTCAAAGAGAAGAGAAGGAGACAAAAATGAGAGAAGAACAGACTTTAATAAGAAACAACACTATCGATCAGATCAGGCAATCTGAAAAACAAATTGCTATAGAAAGTGGGAAGGAATTCACCAGTAAGATACCTGAAAAACCGGTTAGGAACTCTATTTTAAAGTCTCAGCAAATTATTAATGAAGTTTCCGAGTAAGTATAAATTTGTTAAAAAAATATGATTAGATATACATTGATATGCTGCTGCAAATTCAGCATGTATTAAGTTTAATAGATAATTTTTTTGACTTGTTGAGGGACGGCCAGTGTTTGAGATCACTAATTGATCTAGTCTCGCTGAATTTTTCAATTAATCTCTTCACAATTGATGAAATTAAACTATTCCGACCATATTTTGTAAGAAAATTGCGGACTGTAGCTGTCAAACTTTCATTGTTTTTAAAATATTGCTCAACAATGATAACGCTTTGTTTTTTCGTATATTGCTCCATTTTTAAAACCCTGAACTGGTAGCTTTCACGCTGTATTTTTTTTGCCAATGGGCTACACTTTACCGCATAAATGGCGCAAAATTCAAATCTTGTGTGAATATTGGGATACCCAATGTAAATAGGTACCCAAATCAAAGAAGCATGGCTCGATAGACATTCTAACCTCATTAACCAAGTAGCTACACTTGTCTGCTTTATAAGGAATTTTAGGCGTAGATAAACCTCAAAATAGAGTACTGAAGCTTTGAATTTTTAAGGAAAAATTTCATTTCAGATTGTCTGTCGAGAATAATATGTACAATAAAATTGATAACACGAGCGATGATGAAAATAATCAATTTTCAACAATTAAACGGTCTCCCAAAGATAATATTAAAAATTCTCCTGCGTCAACTCCTGTAGAGAAAAGTAGTTCCCAAGAAAATAAAGGCGATGTACTGGAAAATGTCGAACAAATAACCGATCAACAATTTGTGGACGAATATATTTATGGTTTGGGTAACCCATTATTTCGGGCTAGGGCTTTATATGACTATCAAGCAGGTAAATATATTATTTTAAGAATATTTTTCTACTAATCATTTTATTGATGTGACAAAAACCTGGCCTACTACGATTTATTAGTGTCGTTTTTCCAGAAAGTGGTATTAGGCATTTTTTTTATCAAAAAGATAATATTACTGGTGTAATGAATTATAAATACCAAGTTATTAAACAAAATATTGGAAAACAGTATAAATTAAATTTTAGTTTTCTCCACCAAACCTCATTCCAGTCGGACACATTTTTCCAATCGTCTTCTTAAATTTAAAAATACTTTACATAGCTCCCGTCGAGTAGTTTCTGCTCAAGCTTGTCTTATCCGGTTCTTTAGGTCATCCAAATTCCTTGGTCTGTTTTTATAAACTTTTTGTTTTATAAAACCCCAAAAGTAAAAGTCCATAGGGGACAAATGAGGAGATATTGGTGGCCATTGTACTACTGGACTCATTCTCCCAATCCACTTATTCCGAAACTGGTGTAACTAATTAATGACTGCGACAGTGTTGTGGATTGGAGCTCCACTCAACTGTAAATAAATATTTATTTTTTCTGATAAAGGAATATCCTGTATAATGTCCCATAATTCATTATTTATAAACTGAAGAAATACTTCACCATTTAAGTTATTACAAAAATAGAAAGGATCTATTACCCTGTGCTTTGAAATTCCCCAAACACATTAACTTTCTGGGAATATTGCCTCTTTGCTGCAATTACAAAATTAGGATTATTTTCATTCCAAAATCTGATATTTTGAGAAGATACGAATTTGTTTGCCGTAAAGGTAGCCTCATCAGTGAACGTAATATTGCCCAGAAAATTATTATCATTTAAATAATTTCCCTGTGCCCACAAACAAAATTCCATTCCAATGTCTGAAGAAACTTGGGGGAAATGCATACTACATATTAATTACTAAATTTCTTACCAGTTTCATCAAACAACTTGTTGATTCTGCGAACAGTAATGTAAGATATGATTTTATTCTGGTGCCGCCCATTAAATATTTCTGCAATTTCTCTAAAACGAAGGAAATTTTCACCCCTTAATCAAACAATTTCAATTTTTTCTTGTAAAGATAAATATTCTGCCACGACTGCAAGAGATTCTTGCTTTATAACACTAAATAGTTTATCACTAACAATTAAACGTCAAAAATGTCAACAATAAAGCTTTCATTTTTCATCATAGCCTCCTGTATTATTATTTATCCTTACAGAAAGTATTTTTAAATTTAAGAAGGTTTGGTGGAGAAAACTAAAATTTATATTGTTTTGCAATTTTTTTTTTAACAACTGTATTTATAATTCAGTACATTTTTACTATGGCCGCAATCGAAAGTGTTAAATTTATAGTGTTTGTATGTTTTCTTTGTCCGATTGGTACTTGTTTTCACTTTCATGGCAATCTTTGACCTGCTTATTATAATTTTTAGTTATCTGATTTTTCGATGTTTGACCATAAAAAAACACTCAATAGACATTTGGCGATCAAATTTGGTATATGAGTATTTTAATGGATGTTGAATAACCTGGTAATATTATCTTTTTGATAAAAAAATGCCCAATACCAGTTTCCTTCCTGGAAAAACGCCTTATTAAAAAATCGTAGTAGGCCAGGATTTTGTCACGTCAATAAAATGATTAGTAGAATATAACCTCCCTTCAGGATACTATTTGTAAAAAAATTGGTTTGCGGGAAGCCTTCTCACATTTCCAGAGGTGTTAACCTGAAAATCGGGACACGGTCTATGTTATTAACGATTATTTGAAATGTGACTGAAAATAACATCCAATGTTGAAGATGCTATTATTATTATTAATTTATATCTCGTAGTATTAATTTTGTTTTTAAGAGTACTTATTCAAGAAGTTTAATATTTATGAAAATCAACGACTTTTTCAGCCGATGATACGGAAATTTCCTTCGATCCTGGTGATATAATTACTAATATAGAACAAGTTGATGAAGGATGGTGGCAAGGTTTAGCTCCTGATGGTATTACTTATGGGTTGTTTCCAGCAAATTATGTAGAACTAATAGAGCAATAGTTTTCCTATGAGTATGATGATAAAGAGAAAAATGTACTGCCTTGATTTACTTTGTTTAAAGAATGAACACAGTAGTCTGTTAAAAAGCATAATTTACATTAAGTAATTCATAGCAATTATAATAATTGTATTTATACTTGTTAGGTTTTTAAAACATAATATAAATGTGATAAAAATTAAAAATGAAAAAGCATCACATTTTATATCTACTATCATCGCTTTTTGAACATATTCATTGTAATAATTGTATGAACATACGTTATTTGTATCAAATTTTATATCAATAATGATTAAATCAATTATTCGAGCTATATGCACAATACAATTTTTTATCAATAAACAGTTATTTCTATTACTGACAATAATATTTACTTTTTCTTCCTACGGTTATGAGTTTTATACTATTCCAAATATATCTCGGTAGCCTTTTAGAATAAAGAATATTTATACTGTTAACAGGAGCTGGTATAGCAAATTGCTCCTTGGATAGTCAATACAAAATTAATGACATGCATGTGAAATCAACATATATTGTATAAAACGATCATTACATATGTTTTTTGCTTAATAAATTACTTTTATATGAAAACACTTAAAATATTGTCTTATTTGCCTTTTATAACTTAAGAGTGACGTCTATCCTGAAGTAAGTATTAGCATACAAAATGTCGCGGAACGCTGGCACTTGTTTCATATGGCGACATAGCCCCACGTTGGGCGCCATGTTCCGGTAGTGTTTTTGGGCTGGATTCAGGATTGTCTGTCTCCTGGACGGGTTCCAGTTGCTCTGAGACCAGCCAGCTTCTCCCCGGAGCATCATCAATAGGTTTGTAACGCGTATGACGGGACGAGGAAAACCGTGTTTAGGACCCCTCTTCACTTCCGGTGCAGACGCGCTGGTCGTTGGCTCGGGGGCTAGAGGGCTTCGTCGGCGGTTGTAGGGAGGTTGCGGCACAGGACGCGGTTATCACGGGGGGTGGCTACGCCGGCTTGGTGTCGTCTTTGCGGCTCGACGTTAAGAAATTCAAAAGGTTGTTGAAAATTTTCAAAAGGTCGACGATTTTCTTAATTCGCCGTCTGAGGCCATTTGACGGGTGTGGTGGACGTTTGGGTATCTTCATGCAATGTGTTGAACGTCTGCATGTTTTTACCCAAAATATTCAAATGCTCATAACTTGTGGGGTAGAAATAAAAATTTGAAAAAATTACTCCAAATGGGTACTAAATAATCCCAAAAAATCAAGAAAATTAAAAATGGTCGGATCATGACCTTAATAATTTGGAATGGAACACCCCATATACAGGGTGGGCCATTAGTGAGAAAGTAAAATAACTCCCTTGTTATTCATAATACAGAAAAAAGGTTTATATAAAAGTTGTACAGAATCAAAAAACCTAAAGGACAAAATTAATTTGAAACACACAGGGCGATGAGTAAAAACCGGACACTCCAGATATTACATTTTAAATGGAACACCCTGTTTATTTATAAACATAGATTTCTGAGAAAATTATAGAGAGAATATATGGCAATATAAACAGTTTAACATGTAGAAAATTCTTCGAATTTTGGAAAAAACATGTCCTCGAAGAAGTTATATTAACTTTTCAACTACTAACACTTAGAGCAAAAATATTTGACAGTTATAGGCAAATGTTAGGCAAAGACTCCTATACTCCACCAAATTAATTTTGTTAGGTTACTTGATTCTGTATAACAAGGGAGTTATTTTGCTCTCTCACACTAATGGCCCACCCTGTATATTTAATTTTGTTTTTATGTTTTAGATTGAAGAAATTTAAATTTATAGCACTTATACATGAGAACAGAAAAGTTTAGATTACATGTACTCACCTTAAAGAATACGATTATAAAAAATTTGGCATCCTATCAATTGAAAAGAAGCCATTACCTGGTGTCAACAATCTTCCATTGAATTGTGTCTTCTTAATTAAACACCCTGTATAAACGACGAGAATAAAAGAAATGACGGCAAAATGTGTAAAGATTTATTTTAATATTAGACATATGCAAGATTTAATATTCATGGTAATACAAAAATAAGTACATTTATTCTATTATTTAGTCTATTATCTAATTCGAGTCAGTTACTTAGATATGTTACAATTTCCTATTATATACATGGATAAAATATATTTTAAATTTAACGATCATAACTGTAAAAAAATATATAGATATGACCCTATTATTTGAATGTACAAATAACGTTCTTCAATTCTTATAGTTACAAGAACAAAACACATCAATCACAGTGTATAATCACATTACGGACGGATAAAAACAAACGATATCGTGTTTTGCATCATTTCTCATCATATCATTTTTCCAATTTGAAAATGATACTGAAAAATAAAATAGGAAATGGAGATTACAAAAAAATAAGGCCAATTATTTGTACCGAAGAATTGAGGTACATAAAATTTATTAAATAGGCCTTTGATGTTTTACTTCAAGAAGTTGGGGATGATTTTCAACAATGTTGAGTAATATGCCTTCAATGTAAGTCCTCAATTGTCTATTAACTTCTTGTTGCTCTTTTAAAGCTTTCTGCACCTAAAATAGAATCCAATCAATACGACATTAGGACACTAACATAGAACAAAAGTGGGGACTCGCAGAATATTTAACTTTTAGAAATGGAGTCGTTTCCACTCATGGGTTACAAAATTTATTCAAACACGAATTTAAAATTTTTCTTAGTTAACATGATATTATGACTTAGAAGTGGGCTGGAGGTATTCAACATGTTACCGTCGTACTGATAACGGCAACGAATTTTGAGAACAGAGTCAAAAGAATACACCATTTTGTTTGCTTTTAGGTTTTTATAACGATTCCATATTTTCAGATATTTTATTTTCGTAAAAAGTATTTAGAGGAAAATAAGTCTCAAGAGTTCAAAAAAAACCAAAAAATGTAAACACAGCTATTTCTTACTTTTACCACCTAATTGCATTGTATCATCTCTTTATCTGTGGTGTCACAATGTTTGTAAAAATTTACAATAAACTTTTCTTCCATTGCTAAAATACACTGTTATATTTTGTTGCAAGCGTTTGAGACCTAGATTACCATTCCGAGGGTGTATCTAGTAGGCTGAACAAATCGACTAGCGTGACGCTCTTCCTCGAAATACCTGTTATAGGTGGCGCTGAGAATCATCCGACAACTATGATGATTACTCTACAACGCTACCGGAGGTAAAAGTGTCCTGCAACACCTGTTGTTTACTAAGATTTTGACATATGTGGTGGTTTCACCCAAAATAGAGGTTTGGTAAAATAAATACTCGACACATTTGAAAATAATAGAGTAGCCATTAAGTAAGATGTTCCTGGTCATGTGTTTTCACAAAGTACTGTACATTGTTAGAGGAATTTAGTATAATCCAACAGTTCCAACACATAGTTTTTATTATCGAAATGAGACGTTCAAGAATTTTCATCACACGACTTGTTTGACGGGTCATGAAAAAACCGCGGGGTGCTATTAAATTAGAGGGTTGAAATTGAAGATAGGGGTGAAAATGCACTTTTGCAGTTTTTTTAAAATAGCACGAAAATAAAGCAAAATTTCGGTATAGTTCATAGGAAAAATTATGTAAAGAATTGAATTTCCCATCGAAATGGCTTATTTAAAAAATTTAAAAGGAAAATTTTATACAAAAAGTCGTCAACAAATAAAAAGCAGAAAATAAGATTTTTTGATTTTATTTACTTTTTTGACTGTAAGTTGTGAAAATCTTTATTTATTATTAACAAAACTTTTGAAAGAATTTTTTATTAAGTAAAGAACCAATTTGTTGTAAAAGTAATAAGAATTATAATCATTATGTTAAAAACGACGAAAATCTAAAAAATATTTAAGTTTGACCGGTTATAACTCAGTAAATATTAGTCCAAAAACTTTTGAAAATGCATCATTTCGAAGGGAAACTCATCTAGTTTTTTGTACAGCAATTTTCTTTGCCTACTTCTACTAAAACAAAAAATTAGTCAAAAAAGTAAAATAAAAATTAAAAAATCTTGCTTATTTTAAAATTGTTCAACGAATTTTTGCATAAAATTTTTCTTTTAATTTCTTTAAATAAGCCATTTCTATGGGAAATTTAATTCTCTACAAAATTTTTTCTATGAACTATACCGAAATGTTGCTTCGTTTTCGTGCTATATTAAAAAAACTGCAAACGTGCATTGTCGTTGCGTGCGCATCTAGGTTTACGCAGTACAGTAGCAGAAGTAGGGTGGGGAGTCTCGCTTACGTACGCGATGACGTCAATTCTGCGCGCGCCTCTAGTCCTGTGGAGTGGGGTAAAGGGCGTGGCCTGGGGTACGTCCCCAGCACCGCTGCGCGCGCTCCTAGGCCTGCGCATTAGTGATGAAGAATTATTTAATTACCAAAATAAACAATTTTATTTATTGTAATTTATTCCTTTATCTCGTTTACTTCCGCCAGTTGTTTGGAAGGATATGCATTCCATAATTACAGAAAGTTTATTATTTATTCAATATACATCAATTATGTCTTCATTTTCAACCTATATTTTCTATATGTATATAACTGTTATATTAAATATGTTACAAATACATTTTATTAAATCTGATTTGAATCAATTCCAAATGCAGCAACACTGTTTTTACATTTTATCTCTCAAGTGTGATAACTACTTTGTTTTATGATAATCAATAAAAGATACTGAGTATATTAAAATCTGTTCCAACATCTAAATTCAATGCTTCTATTTTTTTGAGGTATTCATATTTTACTTCAATCCATTGTTGTATTTAGCTTTGAAAATAAAGTTTCTAAAATCTCTGCATTATAATGGATCATTATTTAGACATGCAAGACAATTTCATAATTAAGAATAGAGACCTTTTTTGCTGGAGGGTTTTGCTAATGTTCAACAGCCAGTAGCACTGCTATTTTTTAAATTTTGTTTAGTTTTTTAAATTATTACAATTCTTAGATATATTGAAACTTAACAATATTCTTTTACAATTTCACTCCATTTTATTTATCTAATTATTTATTTTTGATATTGGTCTCAAGACTGCTAGGAGAGAAAAAGTACTTGACTAATTTTGATACATTGGATCATTTAAAAAAAATTAATTTCCATAAAACAAATACATTCTGTAATTGTGCCATCTTCAGAAAAATATTAAAATTAGCACAAATAATAATGTATCCCAATTTTCTTGAAAGTTTTGCTGAAGTTTTTCTTTCACCCAGAACATATTTAAAATTTTTGTCAAATGATAAAACTACGAAAATATTTGTTTTATGGAAATAGTTCAAGCTATGTGACATTTTAAAAAAGCGTTACCTTAAAAATTAATAATTATGCTGTATACTTCAGTAAAATAACAAATAAACAACTGACCTCATCCTGAGACATAATGTCCAGTTCTGCGGCAAGATTATTTTCACCAGTAGTAAGCATTCTCCCAGTCTCCAATCCTGCATGAAGAAGGCTTGCCTGTAGTTCTTCGTTTACTTCCTGGAGATGGGAATTTTCGGCTCTTAGGGCAGACATTTCTTCATGTAATTCCTCTAATCTTAAAGTTTCTGGGGAAGTTGTTGGCAAAGCTGGTGTACGAGTTTCCATTCTTAGTCTTTCAACTTCTTTGGACAGTTCATCCAATAAATGTGTTTGGATGTCATAATCTCGTTTTAACCTATAAATATATTCCATTTTTCATAAAAAAATTATTTACAATTCAGGCACATAATTATTTAATAGTGGTGAAATTACCTATTTTCTTGTTCTTTGAAAGTTTTCATTTCCTCTTTACTTCGGTTGAGATCATTAGTAAGATCCTGTATTTGATCCATCATTTCTTGTCTTTGAGTTTCGAATTTATCTATTCGTGTTCGTTGCCTAGCTATTTCCTCTTTTAAACTGGAACATTCTGTTTCAGAAGATTGTAATCGAATGCTAGCATTTTCAAGTTGGAGTTGTTTCTCACGTTCCATTCTGGCCAGTAATTCTTTGGATCTCCTTTGTTCATCCTAAAAATAATTAACATTATTTATATATAGGGTGTTCATTAAGTACCTATGTACAATACATTCAACAGACGATTACACAGTCACACAAAAAAAGAAAAGTTGTCTGTACATTTCATGCGACATATGTTATCTGTAGTATTTTTGCCTCCTGATCACGAATATGGTGTCAGAATTGAACTATAAGGCCGGTGTCCCATGCATCCGAATTCCGACGATACAAAGGTCCGAAAGTGTTCCTATTGGTTAATATACATTCAAATTTTTATCGTTCATTTTCATCCGAAATTTTTTAAATTCATACAAAGTCGGAAAAAGTAGAAATAATTTTAACTTTTATCCGAAATCGTACGTTTTTTAACCTCACTTTTTTATTTCTTAACTATGATTGTTGTTTGGTATATTTACTGTCAAATAAATGTTATATTATAATGTCGAATGTAGAAAATACAATACTACGTATATTTTCTACGATATATATCTATGGTTGTCATTTGAAAATGTTTCACCTTCATCTTGTAATAAATTCCATGGTTCTATACTTGATTTCTATGAGATTAATTTCGGATGCATTTGAATTTCAATATTATCATACGTAAAATATTTTCGGATATCGTACATCGGATTTCGGATGCATGGGACACCGGAATATTATCATTCGTACGAATTAAAATATTATCGGATATCGTACGTGAGATATCGGATGCATGGGACACCGGCCTAACATCACAGGAATTTCCTAACCTCAAAAAACGGGTAAAAAATAGCAAAAATTCATGAAAAAGTGGTAGGAAAAATACAAAAATTTTTTTTTCTAACATTCATGTTGGACTCCGCCCAACATGAATGCGCGGTCAGAATTAATGGTTCATTTTCTAACCTCAAAAAAACTTGTCAATTAAGGTCAGATATCACGAATTTTCAAACAATAACAGATTCGCGCCAAATTTGGTATACGGGGGTTTTCTGAGTCGCTGATCACGGATCTGAGGTCAATTTTGCAAAATTGAAGATGGCCGACCTTTTCAAAAAATAACAGAATTGCAGCAAATTTGGTATACGGGGGTTTTCGGGGTCGTTGATTACGTATTCGAGGTCAAAATTGCGAAATTAATTTTGTAATATTTTATTTTATAACCTGAGTGCCAGTTACGAGCTCCGTGAACCCGCTATCTTGGAAATACGATATGATATGATAATGATTCTGTAGAATACATACTTTTGCATGAATAAACACTTGTTCTCTAGCCACCGAGACATAAAGTCCTCTGTTTGTGAATCTTTTATAATCCTTTAAAAAAAATTAAAGTTATTAAGATTTTTTAAAAACAGAGTAGTTAACGCAAAACGCGTAACTGGTGTCAGAAGTGGGATAGCTAAGAAGAGTCATTTTCCAAAAATTGAAAATCGACGCTGGTTTCAACCACTTACTTCG